TTTTCTCCTACTTTGAACAGCACCTCAGTTGCCCTTCAAAACAGAAAGGCATATGATAATTTTGGGAACTGAGAGCAGACCTGAACTTACAGACTGCTGCCCAACATACGCGAGTCGAGTGACAGATATTCAAATATACTATTGTTAAAATTCTCGCTACCAGAGGTCTGAGTGGTGGTGATTATTGCATAATAGTTTGTCAATATTATCTGAGTGGTGCTTCGCGAATCTGATGAAACGGCACCTGTGACTTTTTAGCCGCAATAATGTCTTCTGTGTTCTTGGATTTTTTGTTTTCTCCACACCTCTGTGTCTAAAGATAAGACAGGTCTGAGCTCACACCCAAACGTTCGTGTAACGGAATTTTGTTTGGAGCTCGGACGACCTATGACCAAAAGTGATTTCGACTGCTACGAAGACGACTGACTTCCGATTACGCGTTCCGAATCATTACAGGCAGAGGTTTATTGCGTCACCCATAGTCGGTGTACACAACAGCTTCTCTTTCGGTGACAGATCAGCCTGAGAAAGAAGATGAAAGAAGCACGCCAGGTGCTATGGTTAAAAAATCGATATTTTGACGGTTTTTGAGAGCTGATTTCATCCTTTTAAACTATTAAAGTTGTAGTCAATAAGGTCTTGATCTGTTTATATTTGTGACTAATCAGAGGACGGCTAGTTGATGGATAGATTGCCTAAGCCACATTTTTTCAAAGCGCTTTACTGAGGTCAAATATTTTTCAGACCACCTGAGTATAAGTAATACTGTGTCCACTACGGTCTTTCAACCCTGGCGCTCATGTCTGAGTAAGAGCTGATTGATCCATGTGAACCTGCATGTCGCTGGTTGCCTGTGCAGTGATGTCTAACGATCTTTGCGATAAGTATTGTTCATTTGTATAGCAAGAATACAGCTGCGTTTTGTCCAGGATGAATTGTGTTTACTTAAAATGTTACTTAAAGCCTGGAACTTTAAGGTACCTAGTGCTTATCAAAGTTTTCTTTCCTGAGACAAAATCCTAGCCCGTGACTTAATGAGCTGGCCGACAGGGCGGCAGGCAAAAGAGATTTCATAAGTATGACTTCAGCCGTCCTATTACTGCGGTTTTCATTGTAATATCCTCAAGAGATCAGTCTCGAATGTAATCCAAGGTCTTTGTTTTGCAGTGGAAGGGAACATTTGGCATCATGATTATACTGCTAGTACGACTGGTACAAGTACGACTAGCACTCCGATTATTGGCGGACTATCACAAATACGTGCGTGAATTCGACTGTTTTGATTCCAAAATTCTCAGTATAAAGTTTAGAACGTTCAAAGATTAAACATTGTTGGAGTTTTAAAGTAGTTCAGCCGTAATTTCAGAAACGAGCAACACGTTCAGTTCGCATGAACGCATTTAACACACTATAGGACATTCATGCGTCGATTGTGGGTAGCCAGAATGTGGATCAGTGGTAAAATATTTGCTCGTTTTTCAAGGTCATTCAGATCAATTTCGAGCACTCAGTTAAATATATTCTGAAAAACCTTCAGTTGTGAAAGTATATGGATGAACGTGTGTCGTGGTTGTCTTAGTGTGGCATGATGACCAAAGAGAGCATTTGAATAAACCATTTGCTTCCGTGTGCTCGAAAACGTGTACATCGAACACCTTCAAGAACTATAATCGAGGAACCAAATTTCAGTTCACATGTTGCTCGCCATCTGACTGATTACTAACGTTTGGTGATTCCAGCGCTAAATCTTAAGGACAGTCTCTATTCCTCCTTTTTTAGACATGAGATGATCTGGGAACTCACAATTTCATCAACAGTGCTTCTTGACCGCATGAATTTAGTGTAAACTCACAGATTAGCTTGGCGCAATGACTTCAACCGAAAGGGATAATCCAGATGGAATACCGAAAATTTGACGCTGGGGAAATCGCTTGTTTTTACCCCGCAACAGTTGGTTTCTGTCGCGAAAACCTTGTCGGGGCAGCTTAGTTAGGGTCTTTTCAGCAAACTGAAACAGTGCCAAGGGCCATTTGGGCTTAATTTTTTTATGTGGGTGATTACAGTTCACGAACGTTGTTGTTGAGAAAACGAGAATACTTGCCGGTGGGAGATTAGAATCCAGTCTTCTGATGTAGGACACTGTGGCAGTCGCGGTTTGCGTAGTCCCGTGTTATCTGGAAATTTTTAAGTTGGGTGTTTAAAGGATGGCGTACGTATACATATTAAGGTCGATCAGGAATCTGTACTTTTGTTGAAAGATCATCTCTACTGATACTAGCATATTACGTTTGAGCAATTGCTCATTTCAAGTCTTTTGTTCAAATCATGATGGCATGTTTGGCGATTTGGTTTGTCTCTGTCATCAGAAGTGACACTGCGATCTTTCCCAACGACTTCCCTACTTCTTGGACCCATTTTGCTCCTAGTTCTTAGTGCATACTTCGTCATTGGCTAATCTGTTACTAGCACGTGATAATCATTTTTCATGACTCGTTGCTAGCACGTGATAATCATTTTTCATGAGGGATTTTAGCGTCGCTTGTGCCCAGGGGTTCGGAACCACTTTAGCCCAGTTGTCCGTCGAAATGTGATACTTTACGCCTTGTTTCTCCTTTGCGTGTCACTTACAATTTTGTCCCGCCGACTAGAAGTCAAAATTTCGGTGCCCTCATTATTGATCTTTGAACCCATTCCTTCAAGTATTCAACTACAGGGTTATACATGCTTACTAGGCTCTCGCTAAAAATCATTCTTTAGTCGTTTTCATGTGGCACACATTGCCCCCGCTCTTTTTGGGTCTTTGCGTTGAGGCTGACAGCTATCTCTGTTTCGGTTCGATTGATTAATCTCAGTGAGTTTCTGTTTCCCCTAAATATGCTTTTATATGCTTTCGTGTTTGTGCTGCATTCAGTTGATCTATTTAGTGCACATTTGGTCTCCTTTTGTGAACGTAAATAAATCAGAATAAGGTAGTAATTCTCCGGATTTTTGTTAGTTTCATCTGGATAACCTAATACAGCATAATGTCTGGCCGCTGTTTTTTCCAGCGTGATGTATGCCAATCTCGATCAAACTGACGTCATATGTGTACCCTTGTCCAGAAGGGTCGCGCAGTCCGCTGCACTTTTTGCAGACTTCGTGAAAGCCAAGATATCGCACATCAAGAAAATGATTGTGTTTCCTCAGAATTTCAAGGGTTCGTAGAGCTGTAGTCCTTCGAAATGAACTCGATGAACGAGTCCAACAGTGGAACTTATAACACACCACAGTCGGTGGACTTAATAGGAATTGCCCTTACTAAATCTTCTTGAAATGTAAACGGGGCATGGAAAGTAACCGCATTGACAAGCAAGTTGCAGCTGACGTATAAGATTATGAACCTGATAGCCCAATTGCTTAAGATTTGGGGATGTCATTTATTTATTTGAGCGCTACATGAGGACAAATTCTAGGTAAATTTAAGATAAATTAATGTCTTTTGCCTTGGGCTGAAAAAAGAGAGTAACAGATTCAACCTTGAGCGACCGGAAACTTTGGGTTGAGACAGCTCTATTCCAGTGATTTACTGTACGTGGTGTAAAGCGGAAAGATCACTGAAACTGGGAGAGTCTTGCTGCTGGTTGCTCGGAGTACGTAAAATACGTCATAGTGACATCTTTAGGTACCTGGTAACAATGACGACATTTGTCACTGTCCACAAGGCACACAATGTTAAACAGTTTTTTTTCATAATGGAAACTACTCACAAGGTTGCTGAAAACTCTTCGACATCCCGGGAAGGGAACGGTTTCACCCTTCTTGGGGCCTATCAGGTAGGCGCAGTCCCCGAGCTTCCGTCAAAGTGATGTTCTACTTGAACCCAAATTGAACTGTTTTCGAGAAATACATCCATTTGCAAATCAATTTGGCTTTTACGAGAGACTCAACGGAATCTCTCGTTTGTGACATTCTACAACTGAATGTGCTGCACACAAGTCGCCTCATGATTCAGTTGTAGAATATCATAAACGGGAGATTCAGTTGAGTCTCTTATGAAAAACAAAGTAAAATAGTTCTGTTCTTTTCTGTTTTGTTTCACAGGTGTCTAATCACTTTGTCCGATAACTTGGAATACGGAGCATTGCACTTGGAAATAAGTGCTCATCACCTCCATGAAACGTCGGGCTCTAAAACAGACCGGCAAACGGACTGACGGGAATGAGATAAAACTGCCTCTCAGTCCATGTGTCACGTCTGGGATATCACACACTTAAAACCCCATAAACCTCAATGGGTGTGAACTGGCTTTCATTCAGTCTAAAAAAATCCTGTCTTATTATTATTAAAAACCAAACCAATCACAACCAGAGATCGATATTTTGCACAACAAAACCAAGCATTTTGATTGGTATCTAAACTGCTCATCATCGGAATGGTTGGACTTAGAAGTTCCCCAGAAATAAATTGGGAAAGAAACTAAGAGAGCAACGTTTGTCGAGCCTGTCTACACAAAGAGTTAATGGAAATGAAGCTAACAAGTTTATTTTTCCTTGTTTCAATGATCTTTGAAGTGGCGACGTCTAAGTAAGTGAGTTACAAAAGTGGTGACCACAAGCCAATAGAGCGGTAAATTCCTCAGAAACCTGGCTTAACCTGAAGCGAGTTAAAAGAGAACCCCATGAAATTCCTTTAAATAAGTTTGGACTTGTAAGTTTAACTACGTTTAGTACATCTGAGCGAAGGGAAGGTACACGGTTCTTGTCCATATCGGATCAAATCAACAGCCTTTTCGATTGGTTCTGGGCACCGCCATTTCACTGGTATGGGTGCCTTTGAAAAATGCTGTGGCAACTTGGAGCGCGCACAATTTGTATGATCCAGATGCCTCCGAAACAGCAAGCCTCAAAGCTACACCCCTTAGTGTGGGCAGCGGTGAAACTTCATTGAATGGGAAGCTTTTTGAGGATCACTTCCAAGTGAGCGCATTGAATTTGATCATCTCTTATTTGCTTTTCATTCAGCTGGGGCGATTCACGATTCGAGACTTTGTATTTGGTGCAGCGGAAGAAATCAGAGGTTACCCAGTACAAGATACGTTCGATGGTATGCTCGGAATGGCTCCAGTAACTACGCACGAAGGGGTAGATCACACGATTCTCGATGGTCTTTTCCAACTGAGCCTTATTCAACATCGGGAATTTGGGCTTTTTTTCAGACAGTGAGTAGGTTAATGGTGTATTTGCTACGTCGTGTCTGGAGCTGAAACCTAAATTTTGCGGGCTTCGTGATCACACAAATGGAACAAAAGTTGCGCTATTGACTTTTTTAATTCATGACCTGTTTGCCCGTTTTGAACTCGTAGTCATCATATCTGGAAGGTTGAATATTCAACAGGTGGTATGCATTTGGTTTCATCCAAAACTAGTTAACTTAAAGCGGATGATCCCAGCAATAACACATCACGTGTCTTGTTTGTATCAAATGCTACTAGGATTACAAATAGAAAAGAATCTATTTGTTTGATAAAATTTATTGGAATAAACTTCTTTCTTCCACAGAGCTACCACAGCCATGAAATTGACTCTGGGATTTACGTAGTCGTCCACTGAAAACCTGGTGCGAATTGTGACAACTGTCCGAAAAGCACGTGTATTTGGGAACACTCGCTATGGATTGATGAGGTATTCGATGAAGGAATTCCGTACGATTAGTTTGAAAATGACACAGGGTTCTAGCCGAATTATCTCATTCGGTCGTCGACCAATGTAAGAATAATATGGTCGGTAAGGTGCAACCAAAGAATTTTTTAAGTTAGGAACATTTTGGCGACGTACGGTTTACATTCCGTCCTCGGTACAAATAGACTTTAAAAAAACCAGCTAGTGACTTTCAAACAACTGCTAAATAGGGCGAAGGAAATATAAGTTTCAAACGTTAGTGGTCCCCACGTTATTGGCGCACTGCTGACACTGTTTGACAAAAGGAACGGAAGGAAACAAGTGATAAACCTCTGAGTGTATCAGGAAATTTTGTTGATAGTCGGCAAGACTTGTTTAAATAAACCGATCCTCTTTCTGTAGGTACAGCGAAATTAATCAGATGAATCTGCGTTTCATTTTATTCGCAAAAATTGTCTACGGGAATCTCTGCTATTTATCCAGTCTCCTGTGCTCTTTTTACCTCTTTCCAAGCATGATCCTATTCTTGAGTCCGATGACCAAATTTCCATGCTGGAGAACTAAACTATATTTGAATATACCGGTTTCTTTTTGCTTTGAATTGTTATGCCTTCAATTTGTCAATAGTCGTTTATGTCATATCAGAACTAATCACTAATGTAAAATATGTGAGCATTCTACATCAGTCCTCTTCTCAAGAGGAAGGTCCGAAAAGCAGGAATCGACTTTGGCTGGTAATTTTTTGTAACCTTGGAAAAAATTATGCCTTCAATTTGTCAATAGTCGTTTATGTCATATCAGAACTAATCACTAATGTAAAATATGTGAGCATTCTACATCAGTCCTCTTCTCAAGAGGAAGGTCCGAAAAGCAGGAATCGACTTTGGCTGGTAATTTTTTGTAACCTTGAAAAAATTGAGAGATATCCTAGTTTATAAGTATGGTGCGAGCTCGAATGTGCGAATTGCTTCCACTTATGCTGTGCTAAGCTTTAAGCCCAATTTCAACCGCGGCAGAGCAGTTGCAACTTCATACGGAAGTACCGTAAACACTGATGAGCTCTGTGTTGTAATTAGACACCATTAATGAGCAGGACTCAATAGTTTACGTCTAATCGTCATCCATTTGAAGCCTGGTTTACAATAACGGATCAAATAAAGCTAGGCAGTTGTGCATCCCCACCACTAAGGCTCGTGATACATCCTCTGGTATTTTAACAGACAATAAAGCCTCACTTGAATATCGACTAAAACGAAACAAAGTTTCAGTAACGGTGATTTTATTTACTTCACTTCATATCACCAGTTTGTGATGACTCTGCAAAATTACCCCCAGTAAGTTTTTTAAATGAACGATTCCTTGGTGGAACATACGAAGTAGGCTTCCCTAGTTGACTACAATTGATTCGGCCTTACTTTCAGCCTAAACGCCACTTCTCTTTTGACGGCTTTCAGTCTGCTGGCTCTCGTTAAGTTTAGAAAATGGTGATGACCAAGTAAATGAAAAGGTTTGAGGCCTTCGGAGTGAACAAGCGAAATAGCCGAAAGTTGAAAACTTGAGTAAAACTAGAACAATACTCTTCTCACAAACGGCCGCAAAGACTCCGTGAAATGTTTTGTGCTTGTATAAACAAACCAATTTACCAAACGTTTCTTGCACCTCGAAAGCGTTTTTATTGACTTCTCTTGCAGTAGAGGCGTGGACAATGGCTCCCTCAAAATTTTAAACCAGTAAGCAAATTCAAGATAACCTTTAAGTATTCAAAGGATAGGCCGAATGGAAGGCTCCAAAATTAAACTTTGACCATATAAAACCCTTTGCAATAATAGAACAAATTTTGCATTTTTCTCCGGCTGGACTGGGCGGACTAACAACTGCCAAAGCGTAAAGTGGTCTCGTTGGCATATATCTGGTTAGTTGTTATCAACTCGTGTATCGGTTGTATTCTTCGTCTTGTTACCGCTCGAAATGTGTACTATACTTAATGACAAAATCAGATGCAAGGGAGGGAAGACGGTAGACCCGTTGCGGAATAAGACTTGGGAATAGTCATTGCAGAGTCTCAATGCTAGAAACTGATGTCATTCTATGATCCCGCCATCAAGGTGTGGTTTTATGCGCATGTATTTCGCTTACAGAACTTTGAACTTTTGGGAACTTCAAGTACGGTTAGAAGTTGCTCACCGTTGTTTAAAACGCTGCTCAGCAAACGCAGATAACTGTATTTACGGCATTGTCATCTAAGCAGTCCCTCCACAGTGTTGGTACAACTATCTAGGTTAATCCAAAACAAAAAACGAACTGGATCCCCTCTCGTTGAAGTCCATCATTAGCACATATCCTTGGATCTGAAGCTTGAACGTTTGATGTACCAGACGTACATGTTACCATTGGTTCACAAAAACAGGCTGGGTGCAGTTGAATTTTCAAGACTTAGCAGTTGAACGGCTGAACAAAAACTCGGGTATGGTGATTTCGCTTTTTTTGTGGACGTATCAGAACAAACAAATCAGCATTAGAGAAGAAATAACAGTATGAATGTACAGACCTCAAATCTCACAAACAACTAAAATTAATGGGCACCACTGGGTCTTGTTAATGGAATTTCTATTAAGACCCATTTACAAAAAATCATTCTCAACTATCGAGGCTTTTTAACGCTGATTTATTCGGTAACGGCTTCTGTCAAACTTCATGAGTTCTGTTTCCCCGCCTCAAACTTGTACCATTTGTAAACTTTTCTTGTGCGGCGCACTAAGTTTCGTTGGTTATTTTGATATTCCAGGGCCACGGAAGGAAAAAACTACATGGTTATTGGTGAAATCGCCGCACAATATATGCCACGGGAAAAGTATCCAGTTCGAACTTTGAACGAACCAGGATGGACTATACAAGTGGTTTGGTGAGGAAAATTGTTATTCTGTTGGTGAATCGCTTTTTGGTCGATGGAATAATATTTCACCTCTTTGGTACATTTACGTTTGCACTACGGTTACACGAGCTGTGATACTTCTAAAGATGTTCTAGCTTGTACTTGAATGAATCAGTAAAACAAACTAGCGTCTTTGCGGAGGTGCCAGAGTCGATCTTTCTTTTCAACATTTTCCGTTCTGTCAAGAAGAGACTGCGTCTTATCCTGGTGTGGCGGTCTGTGTACCTCGGCGACCCATTGAGCTATACTGGGGGGTGTCCTCACGACACACACAGAATCTCTCATACCAGGATAGTCAATGGATAGAAGTCCGACAAACACAGTCTCCTGACCCTCCAGGTTGGGGGTTGAAACATGTGTGGCGACGCGTTTCACAGAAATGTTAATGTACTTGTATTTCCAGCCCAACGGCGCCGCCTTGCGGCTAGGCTTATGGTTCTACGGCAGTGAAGCATCAGTGTCAACAGTGATGTTGCTGTGTTCGATGATGGTGATGATAATGACATTTATCTTTGTCAAATTCTTTTCTGTTCAAAACTGATCATCAAGGTTTTGAGAGTATGCATGGCAAAAATGTCGAACTGACAAGGATCTATTTGTGAAATATCAGCAAAACTCACTGAGATTAAGATTAAATTCAAGACCCAAATTACTTTTTCGTCGAGCGTCACTGCAGCAATGGTATAAAACAAGTAAAGTGGCTTTAAAAATGACAACAGCGTCCAATTCTTGAGCGAAGGAAAAAAAGCTTCTGAAGCAGAAAAACGAGGACCTACACAACCATTTCGGCCAATGTTTAAGTTTACCATCCCTTAGCTCGATTAATCCGGTTGGTCCGCTTTTGCATCGTCGTACGGGACATCAACACTTTGAATTCCTACTTAATGCAAGCTAGTGTGTCAACCGTAGTTTGTGAGTGTATCTTAACAACACGACATTGATGACGAGGTTTTCCTGAAGTCGTAACCACCAATCGTAATACCGGTATGACGGTTAACCTTAATAAGGAAGCCTTAGGGTAGGGCCGCGTTGCAAAGCATGTGATCACTCCAGACTAGGCAGGAAATCCCAAAACACTGTTCCAGAATAATATTTTCCAAGGTTTAGCACGTTAGACATCCCAGAGTTAGTATGAATTTTTCAAATGCATACTATGATTTTGGGTGGAAAAGTGTTAGTGTTATCGAAAACGCGCGAATACTTGGGCTTCTATGTACCACATCCTCAACAAATACAATAGCAGTATCTAGTCCGTCACTTCTGTCATCCTTAAGGATTGGTCAACCCGGGGAAAAGAGCGCTGAGTGATCACCCTGATTATTCTGTTCCTTGCGAGTGCCAATCATCTCAGAGACCAGTTTTTTTTACGTCACGCGAAATTCACTGCTGGGTTGGGGAGCACAAGACGCCATTTGCGGAAAAGGACTTCAAATCTTTGACAAATTCTGCCTCATTATTTTTCAAAGCGACCGGGTTTTTTTCAGGAACCAAGTAAATGATTTCACGCTGGCCCCTAATAAGCAGAGGACAGCTTCAGCTCCACTGGTACTGCATAGTAGGTATACTTCAAACTGTCCGTGAATTTTGACGTCAAATTTTTCTGTACCATTCGACCCTTTCCTCAATTGTTTGAAGTACGTTGCTTTTACCTGTATCCGTGTAAATCGAGTCTTAAAATTCAAGTTAGGCAAATTGGAAAGTGAAATGATACGTCTTGCGCCTAATCAGATATCTGTTCATGTTTTTCGAATCTAGCAATAGTAAAAAGGGTCAAAAGGACGGTCTCAGTATCCGACCCCCCTTTTACACACTGAATAAACGTATTGTTTTGTCGAGGAGTACTCAGCAATCTTACATGGCGTGCTTCGACAAGAAAATGTTTTCGATTATCCAGATTCCTTAAAAAACACGACAAATCGAAAAGTCTGACTCATTTTTATGCTTGATCGGAGTGAGAATTTGTCATGTTTTCCGGGTTTGAAAAAACTTGGACGCATGTGGCTCTGTGATGGTATGCTGAAATGACCGCACAGTGCGAAGAAGGCCTAAGAGCGAACGCTATTTAATGATCAAACCAGGTGATCCAAATGAACACATGCAATAGTACCCGAATTACTTGAAGAGTGACGATCTGGCAGTGGGAAATAGAGGCAAATATTAAGTACACCCCCGCGAGTGTAATTCATCAACAGTAGCACTTAGAAAACGTTGCCAGATTTCGTGTTGATGAACGTCCGCATACAATGCAAGTCTGTATACAGGGCGATCTTCACAGAAGACAACTTCATTATTTTCAACCATAAAAGCCAAGGTCTGTTCTCTCAATCACTGTATTGCGCTTATTATTTCCGATTACCTCGATATTTTTCGTATGTGTTGAGTGCTCCTGCTTTTAATTTCATATGAGTTGAATTTTAGTCACCGGTCTATTAGCTGATCATTCAAAATTTCTTGGGAATCAGACTGCTAAATATCGACAAAAAATCTACCTTGTCTGTTGATTTGTTTTCTGGATATCTGTCATGATTGTGGGCATATTTGCAATAGTTAAGATGCGGAAATGTCCATAAAGCCGGTACCACATTCTGTTTAGAGTTATCGCAATCTCTATTGCCGTCGTTTTGATGTGCGAATTCGCGACCAAGTTTCACTGATACTTTAGCCAGGAAAAAGGTTCCAAATACACCGATTAGTCGGAACGAACGGAACTTTCCTCAGTACACAATTAAGTCAAAAAGGAATCAGGCGGATGATGGCTGTTCCCCACACTAAGGCCAATGATATGATCAAACTGGTTGGAGTCTCATCGTACCGACATCTGAACTACCAGTCAGAACCAACTATGATATTTATTCCAGGCAATTGCAAACTCCCGGTTTGTAACCGCATTACTTCCTGTGGAACCCCACCAGCCGTGCAGGGTTATTTTGCCTTGTCCATACCAGAGGGTGGAAGATCGTGGACGAATTTTTCCAACATTAAGATATTAAAGGTCAATATACACATCTTACTGGAACACAGTGCATTTAAAATACCTCCACCAGCGCTGGCTGGAAGCAGCTGAATTATAATATCTTAACCGGCGTAAATATTTGCGGTTGATGAATGGCATAGTTTCTCCCAAACCTACAAGAATACTCTGTTTTTCCGTTCAATTAAAGCCCCCTACCCACGTGAACGTTAGTCAGCTTTTCTCGTAGTTGGTTGTACGTTCTTTGAATTTGTAACCACGTCACTCTTGTGTGCACCGTCTGTCTGCTGTCACAATAAGACCGTCTGAAGTAAAGCTGATGAAAACTTGGCCTTACTGGTATTTTATTCAACGAAACCATCCAGTTTTCTTGCATTGTACATAACATGGTATATATACATACATACATACATACATACATACAAACATACATACATACATACATACATACAAACATACATACATACATACATACATACAAACATACATACATACATACATACATACAAACATACATACATACATACATACATACAAACATACATACATACATACATACATACAAACATACATACATACATACATACATACAAACATACATACATACATACATACATACAAACATACATACATACATACATACATACAAACATACATACATACATACATACACATGGTACATGGTACATAGATCTAGCAGGAAAGCCAGTAGGTCCACCGTGTTAACCATGGTATCTGATGGTAATAAAGTCAACAATTAAATAAAAAAATAATAAAATAACAACAACAACCATACTGATACTTGTGAGACGGAAGGGTAGCTGTTCTTAGCCGCTAGGAAAGATGGCAGTCCGATAAACAGTGGCAATTAGATTACCAAATATGTACCGATATCGCCCTTCAGTTTATTCACATGGCACCATAATTCTGCAGTTGCGCATAAATCCCAATGGAAACAGTTCAGCATTGGCCAATTTTAACTGGAGTTTATCCGTTATAGCTGCAAATATGATATCTGCGGCCAAGATATTGCCATCTTCTTGATTGATATTTCGACGTTGTCTCTCACTTGAATCAAGATAACGTCACCATCAATTACTACCTATGTACACCGCAGAGGAAACGGTAATTGACAAGTGGTGTCCAGTACATCCATTTTGCTCATGCATTTGCGTCCGTAAGAGTGGAGTTTGCACGCGGTTTGGTGTATGCAAGTTACTACCTAGAAAAGATTTTGTGGTCCAAAGTTTTATTTAAATTTAGCCCAACAGGCATCGTAATAAAAGCGTTGTTTTAGCACACGCTACTCAAAAATTAATGTAGCATTCGTACAAATGAGTTGACGCCGAGTGTTTAGCAGTCCTAGTTTTATAATTATTATAAAGGATTGCTCTTTGAAAACGAAGAAGTATTTTTCGAGAACCCTGAATGTTTCCCTGATTGTTACGGTAGATTCATACGCACAGTAAACTTAATCAGTGTAAATTAAGTCAAATCACTGAAATTCCTGCAAGCTCATATGAAAGCACGCAAATATGTCTAACTGGTTTCAGGCCTCTGTGATGCTGATCTAGTGGAAGATTCTCACAGATGGGTCATTCGTTCGACACAACCTGTTGCTTGGACAGTTGCTTCTTCGTCGTTCAAGGTGCTGGACAAAACAGTTATGTTGCCTTGACCTCTGAGGCATGATATTTTTGGCACATCTAGCTTATGTTTGCTAAATTTTAATATCAGGCTTGCTCAGAGCGTCAGATGTCTTCCCGGTGCGATTGATGATGTGCACCGATGAAGAGCTTCAAGAACAGCATAACCTACAAATCCTGTAACCAGACACAACTAAACCAAAAAATTAAATGTCTGACTGTTGTTAAAATGGTTGTGTGTTACGTAACGTTCATTTTTTGCGTCCAATGTTTCTGACCATAGTATTTTGCTGCGAGCTGTCTCCTAAACAGAAAATTTCTGATCAGAAGTGAATGGATAGAGCCCATTTGAGCATTCATGAAGCACAAAGCTACCGGACAATAAATCACAAACAAGTCTTATGACATGTATCCTTGCAGGATGTTTTTCGGTGGAGTACCATTCAACCTGTCTGGTTACAAGGCGATAGTGGATACCGGGGCTACTGCTACCTACATACCTCCAGATATTCTGGAGACTATTAACGCCATCCTGAAGGTTACCGAGAGCGTCAGAGGGTTCAACACCGTTGACTGCGACAGAGTTGGAAGATTTCCTGCGCTTGATTTCCAAGGTGTAAATGTAAAGCTGACTGCCTATTCATCACAGTATATACTGGAAGTAAGTGAGCAGTACATATTTTCGAAAGAAAATCCCCGAATTCTACTGTGATTAAAAAAACTTGTGCTCTGCGATTCTTAGTCGGTTTTTTTATTAAATCCAATCACATGCCTTGCACCAGTTCCCCGTTAATATTGAAATTCGAGTGCGTAGATACTGCTTGCACCAGACAGTTTTACTTAAATGCCTGAAATATTCAAAAGCGAGCATATCACGGTTTGTTCCGTATAATGGTCAGGTTAAAATCAACCGAAGTTGAAGGTTTGTGGCCATTTATAGGCTGTAGGGCGGGTGGGATTGATTACATTGTCCACATGCGCTGTTTCCGCGCCTAATTTACGTTATGCCAAACTTAATGCGCCAACAGAGTGTACTGATATTTTTACCAACTGTGATAGACAGGTGAAATATTCCTAAAACCGGACTTGTGCAGCTCGCGCGCTACATCTTTCAAACCCGGTGTCAAATCCATAGAATCTGAATATCACACTCTAACGCTGTTATTCGGTCACACCTGTAATCATATATATATATATATATATATATATGATTACAGGTGTGACCGAATAACAGCGTTAGAGTGTGATATTCAGATTCTATGGATTTGACACCGGGTTTGAAAGATGTAGCGCGCGAGCTGCACAAGTCCGGTTTTAGGAATATTTCACCTGTCTATCACAGTTGGTAAAACGGTCAGCTTTCTGAGTCACTTATGACTTTCTGTCTTTGGGTCCAGTCGAGCTATGATAGCCGTGAATAGTTCCGAGTCACAAGTGATTAAAGAAATCTGTTTTAACGATGTTTCTATCCCTACTAAATGAGTTGTTGTACGGCTGACTTTGGCGCATCGAAAACGTCCATTCAATAGGCTTGTTTTAACGTGTGAGTACTGACCATTCATACTAGCCTCGTACACAGGTGAATGTAGGCTGCTCAGGTAGTACGGCTGATTTTTAAGCTCCTGTCAGACTGACTAACAAATATTTAACCACTAAATGCGATCGGTAGGCGAAACGACCAAGCGTCCTGCCATCACAAAGTCAGATATTTCCTCGGATTTAAATCACGTGCTACAAATTAGCTGTTTTAAACATTGACGAAATTATCAAGAAATTAGCCAGACAGTTGGTCACAAGTAGAAACCTGAATATCATCGACATGAAACTTGCCAAAGAACCTGACGAAACGAAGGAATATTTCAGGAACTGAGTACCTAAATCTTTCTAGATGTGGTTGGTTACGAGCAATAGCCGAAATGCGGAGTGAACTGAAGTGTATGGGTTTGTAGATGGTTCGTGAGGCAACGCAAGTTAGTGCGTCTCACAATATCGATGTCTGGATACCGATGTGTTTGATATTGTAACGGAATACAGCATAGTTGTTTGTCCTGGTACTTGACTCGCCACCATCACAAATTCAATATATTCTGCAAAAATCGGCAAAATTAATTTCACAGGTTGTTATTCCACCTAGTATCAACGGCACGACAATGGGGATAATTGGGAGAAGGAGCAGTTTTGCACTTGTTACCAGATGAGATATTCTTGGCCAACCACGGGTTTTCAGAAGAATCGCAAGAACCAATCGGTTGACACTAGAGCTAGTAAGATACATAGGATCAGTTTGTAACGATATATGCTATTCTTCGTAGGAGGTTTAAAAAATCACTGTTAAATCGGAGCTTGTAGAACAGAGCACCTTATAACTCTCATCATCATTATGATTAGCTGCCACGGTGCAACAAGTTAGATAGAAATTACATAAAGAATCAAAAGAAAATGGAACAATAATCACTTGGTGCGAGGAAGTCCTTTTTTACAGAGAAATGTTTCAACAAGAAGTTTGCCCCTTTGAACAGCATTCATAAAAACACATCTGAGCATCACGTCGAAGCAAGCTACCGTCAGCCTGATTAACCCAGCGTCCCTTGCGAAACTCAGTTGGCCGGCGCACAACGACAATCGACATTTAGCTAGACCGTCCGGCTAACAACTGGCAGCATTCAGCCTATCTATTTAGCCTTACAAAAATTTTGTAGCACCGGTGTAAGCATGTGATGATTTATGAGACATTTGTCCTACTTGTCCAATGATTTTTTTCTGCAGGGGGAAGTCGATGGCGTTCGTAGATGCTACAGCCCATTTTTGCCCCACTCAGAGGGCAAGGTCATTCTTCTAGGAATTTCCTTTTTGCGGGCATTCGACTTGCTATTTAATGCCGATACCGGCCATGTTGTATTTGCTCCAAAAGCATTTCAGTCGTCCGCCATTCCTATGTGAATAGTGTGTGTGTGAACGCCATTTTGATTTGTTTAAATGCGGTGTCCAAATGAAGGCTAAATGAATCTTACTGACTTCCTCACTGAAAATGTTCTCGTTGGGTTGACATCTGAAACGTAACCCGACCTTAGACAGCTTTAGGTAACTTTCAAAGTCAGGATGAGATCGAGGATCTACAGAGCCTCATAGGGCGCCCGACATAAAGTTCCAAGGGATTAACAGTGGAGTAGGTGAACAAATTCATTGATGAAACAGAATATCCGGTTACTGCGACTTAGTTCGAAACTAAATGGACGTGTATTCTAACTGCAATTATAACTAAAAGCACTGGCTTTCTTCGAAACATTTAAAAATTAAAACGGACTAAAAAAGGAGACTTTCAAAAACCCGAGAAGATATCATCGATTAAAATTGAACCTCTCAAATTTAACGAAGCAAAGGCTGAAAATTCAGCCTGAGAGATGGTGAACACGTGAGATTTTTAACTAATCATACATAGAAACAAGAAACTAACTGACGAGCAATGGATACAACATGCAACATAAAAACCCTACCAAAAATTTGTTGCGACTTTATTCACTAATACGCAGAAACTTTGGCTGTTACTCAACGAAGCCATTTACTTGGTTTGTCTAAATCCCACATTCCGTGTATATTTCTGCCGATAAACTACATTGTGAAATAGAACCCGATAAAAAGTGTGTGTTTATGCATATTGACAAAGGCTCCATTTTATTTAACTGGTTGGAATCTCAAGAAATAAACTACTGTCCAGAGCACAATATTATCTTTTTGCCCCCGATGTTTGGTGATTGCAACTTACAGAAATTTCTACTTCTTGTGCTATATAAATCACTAATTGACTCAATGAAAGAAGAACTTTTATTCGTAACTAAATTACGCATACCAATTGTATTTAAGAGCTATAGACTGGGTTAAATTCTCCCGAACGATACTTATGTTGGCAAGCTATTACAGACGCCTCTGCTAGTTATCCCAAAATTAAGCGTGGACAAACGGTGTGATTAACGTATGTTGCTATATCGTTAACCTCACCAGATCAACATAACTTCTATTCCCAGCAGTTCGCTACACAATATGATCATTTAGTATTTATACTGAATTCACAATTCCAGCATTCCGACAGTCAAACCTTACACTTCGGATTCGCAAGTATTTGCGATATGCGATATGACCAATAAATCCATTAGTTAGGTGTGACTACCCGACTTTGAGCCCGTCATTTAGTCTCTCAATACGCCAAGCAGTCTTAGAGACTCAGCGTTCTGTTTCAGCTTGTCAATGGATGTGCTGGCCAACTGGCCAACGTGGAGCCGAAAGTCGTATATTTCAACTGCTATGAGAAATTTTGGGGATCAAACCACCCTGAAAGTTTTAAGGATGGGCGATGTTGATTATTCCTATAGAGGATAAGGCAGCTGTAAAATACATCCTTGCTTTTTGCGTGAACCAGGGCAAAATTTTAGCCGATCAAAATTTGTCTTGCATTAGTAATCTCGATGTTGAGTTGTGCGTCTGCTTGATATCATCAAATTTGTGCGGAACTGCTGTGTGTCGAAACGAACAGAATCAGACTTCTGAAGTATAAACCGTTACGTTGTTGAATCCTTTTTATTCACATGAAGAAGAAGGCGAAATCTTCCAGCGGCACAAATAATTTGCACTCATTCAAGAAAAAACCTATTTTCAAATGAGATAACCCGGAATGTTTAGCGGCACGTCATTCTCCCTCCAGAGGCGGTAATATTGAAGACAATCAAAATACTGTTTTCACTACGTAACAGGCTGCATCCTGGCTCCTTTAATTTGAGCTCGCATTAGGAAAATTCCCCCATGACCTGAGTTTCCGGTCGCGCAAAACATCTTACGCAGCACTGCATTTTGATGAAATTTGATTCCAAGCCTTTTATCTGCCGATATGGCAACAACTATTTATTGGAGTGGCAAAATATGCAGCAATGAAGATTTGCCGAGAATTTTAACCTGGATGCACAAAACTTCGATGTATTCGGGAGACTGAGCGTTGGTGAAACCCGCATGGATTTCGGCCCGCACGGACGGTCCTGAAGATTAATCAATCATTGAATTCAGTAATCGAACCTTTGAACGTATGCAATAAGGAGGTAGAGGAGATGATCAAAGTTGAATAAAGCTGCATATGAGCAACTTGAAAATGAGCAGAGTCCATGGCATGCTCTTTGCACACCAAGCCACCTGCGTGCAGCAGACCGAAAACAACGTATTTTTATGAGCTAATGGGGAAACCAGACAGAACTCATGGTAATATCATGTCAATACAAAATAATGAAGCCCGTGGGTACTACCACCAACAATGTATCAACTCTTCTAGTACCACACTAGAACGAGCATCCTTTTATATCCGTTCATTCCACGGTTAAGTTGTGGAATGATTCCCACAGAAAATGGTTCCAAATTCATGATAATTCTTTTAATCCTATGACTACATCATACTGGCAACACTTTCATTCTTATTTTCAAGACTTCGGCATTTCTTCGTGTCTGATCGTCAGCTGAGGATCTTGATGGCTTACCGGGATGGCATGTAGGCTGAAAATAAGAATATTACTATTGCTATAACAGTAAAGGGATGATATTCAGAGCTCAAAAATCGGATCAATACACTACTGAGGACGTTCATGCGTTAGCTATTGACGAAAATGTTGAATGCTCAGGTCCCTT